TTCACTGTGAGCTTAGAATTACTAAGTTTAGGGTGAGAATATTCCACGCACGTGGCTCCAGGGTGGAGGACGTACTTCTTCCTTCCTAAACGTGTCTGCTGAGTGAAGTAGTCGTAACGCTCCGACTTTTTCCACATATAGTAATACTCCACACACTCGCCCACTGACCGGGTACGGACCTGAGGGGAAGAGATCCCAGTGAGAATTCCAGGCACGGAGCAAGGAGCAGCCTCCCATTTAAGCAGCACAGAAGAATCCAGTGCATTCCAGTCATTTCTAGCACTACGGACACATCTACGCTGCACAACAGCAGCACAAAGGGGAGCTTTCCGAGGTGGTGATCGGCCAGAGACAGGGCTCCCCACAGTGCACAGTTGATCTTGCAGAGCCCAGGGTTTGTGCAGGACTTCCCTGCGCTTCCAGCAGCACGTTTACCATCAAGAGAGCAAACCTGCATCCATTTTCACTGGCCAGCATCAACATGCCCACAATTAATCAGCAGTAGAACTGGACTCTCTGGTTCTGCCAACTCCCAGCACAGCAGCGTATGTCCTGGGGCCCAGCTCTTCCCTACAACAGCATCTTTGGTTCTAGAGGACCCCAGGGGACTTTACAAAACATCCACATGCTCAACTCACTCATTCACAGAAGCACTGCAAGGGCTGAGAGTTTGGAAAGAACTTTTGAGACTCCAGAAAGGGCTAATCAGTAATTAACTGACATCACTCATGCAGGTCAGTGGTGTTTGTGACTTCTCCCACCTGGAAAATAAGGCAGAGCAGGGCAGTGAACAGCCCATCACCTGCTATAGCATGAGTCAACACAAAGCCTGGGATGGGAACTCAGCAGTCCTGAACTTCCTGCATTAGCTGAGGCTCACTACATACCTCTGGTGCCAAGGCACGTGCCTCCTTCCCTCCGTCTTAGTGGGATGCGGCGGGGAATGTCCTTACCTTGTTTGCCTGGATAAGGTGGAAGTTTTTCCCATGGACCCTGAAGCCATGCTCAAAATTCCTACATTCTTCCTCGCTCCAGGCACAAAGCTCATCTAGAGCAGAGAGAAAGTGGAAGTGGAGGAGATGGAGCTCTTGCTAGACTCTACATATGCCTCAGTGCCTGGGGCAGACCCCAAGCAGGGGGGTTCTCACCTCTGATGACCTTCACGTTGAACCGTAGCCTCCGCAGTGCCTCTTCTGCATTGAAGTTGCATTTAACCAGCTCATACAAAGCCTAAAAGAGAAGGAAAAGACTCTCAGCATGTACCTGAGCAACACACCACAAACCAACCTGCTCATGCCTCACCTTTTGTCACCTATTTTTCCCAGGAGCCACTTTGCCACTAACCCCAGCGTGACCATCGGTGGAGATGATTCCACTTTTGGAGGCACAGGATTATAAACCCTGGGACTGCAAAGCTCTACCAGCAGCTCTGCAGCTCTCTGGGGTGCCTCTGCCCTCCTGCACACTGAAGGTGAGAATCTAACCTGGCTAGCCCAGAAGAAACACAGCTGCTCTCATTTCTTAGCCTAAATGTATGATCTTCTGCTGGCTCCACAGAAGAATTAGACACTGTTCTAGAGGACAGAGCCAAAAAGATGACCCCGCTGCAAGCTCTGGGCTTGGGATACTGGGAGAATATAGTTAAAACAGTACACAGCCTGCTACATGCTTGCCACAACCATCTGTGACTGCACTGGGGGTAAAGCACTGAGCCAGACAGGCCTGTGGCACAGGGTGCCCAGAGAAGCTGTGGCTGCCCCATCCCTGGTTGGAACTGGATGAGCTTTAAGGTCCTTTCGAGGCCAAACCAGGCTGGGATTCCATGATTCTATAAAGCAGGAACAAAGGATCACTGCAGGAAGCCCCACACTTACCTGCTCGTTGTCCTTCACCATCTCTCCTTCTGGCAGGCTGCTGCTCGACAGCTCGTCCCACTGCCGCTTGACTGCGCGGTACAGGAACTCCTCCACGTCTCTCTCAGGGAGGATGTTTGGGTCCCAGAGCAGCTGATCTTCATTCTCATAGGCTAACAGAAAAAGCACTGAAATAAGATAATCAAACAGAGAATTCTGCTGCTTTTCAGAAGTGGTCTGCACGGGAGAGAGAGAAGGAGGGAGGAAACCTGGGCTTGGTACCACTAGGGGTGACAACCATCACTACTGTGCGTTTCAGAGGTGGAGATGCTTAATGCTCCCTATCCCTCTTCTCAAGCCCTAGCACAGGCTCAACTTGCTTCCACTCCTTCAGAAGAGTTGCTTGATAAGGATTTTGTCACCATGTTCTCAAAGCTTGTTGCTTTATTATAAACCCCTCAGTTCTGAGGTGTCTTTTCCCACACACAGTAAACAAAAGGACTGGGAGGTGAAGGCAGCTTTGAGCTACAAGCCTGGTTTAGGCTTAAGCCCCTCTCCCTGTCCTAGGCACAGAACTAGGCAGCTGGAAGGCTGTGTGTCCCCCCAGCAGCTTCTAACACTCCTCCTAACAGGAGCTGCTTCACTCACAGAGAACAGCAGGAGCTTACACGACCACTAAGTAATTCTTGCCCCTTTCTGCTTTCAAAGCTCTTAGTACATGAGAACGCAGCACACAAGAACATAGAGGGGTGCTGAAGTAAAACAACAGCACAGAGGAAGCAAGAAGAAAGACTCTGCAGTAAAAATGACCAGAAATACTAAGATTTTTCTATTTGGATGAAAACATCAGCACCTTTTGGACTGAACTTGTTTCTACAGGCAAAGGAAGCAACTCTTCTGCCCTGTAAAATCACTAAAGTCAGGTCGGAGGTACTTGACAGAGCATAGAATGCCCCCACTGCGATCTACTGTCAGTTTACTTCCATTTCACACTGGTGGAAACATGGAAAGCACACACTAAATCTGTGGTCTTAATACAGAAGGCTGAGAGCACTGATAAAAGTTACACTGACACCTTCTGAGAACTGTATCAGGTAAATGTGAAACAGCACCTGCAGAACAGATCACTTTTATCTCCTTGAACTTATTTGCTCAGAGTCTGCAAGGATAAAAGACCTAAAGAGGAAACAAGTGATTTCTGCAGATGGGGCTTTCTGTCAGCTACCTTGTTCAGAAACTCCACAAGCTGCTGCTGGTATCACCCTGGTTACCAGCCACAACCTGCCAATGAAGGCTCCTCAAATACAGCAGCCCTCCATCCAAACAGGGCACAAGAAAGCAGGTTCTTACCTTTTTCCCCGTGCCTGTTCAAGTGGAGGATGGGAACAGTGGCTTGGTACTGAGGTCCAACCATGATCTCCTGAAACATCACCAGAGATGCTGGTAAATGGGAATGGAAAACGCTTCCCTGCAGGCACCGAGGTGCACTTCATGATTTAGGGGCTGGAACACTATGAGGCTGATTTATGTATTGGTAGACCCCCCCATCACTGTTCTAGGGAACACTGAGTATTTTATAGGGTAACTAAGAAGATTTACTACCCACAAGATGGTACTGTGGGGACTGGAGGCATTTATATAGTTTTAACGTTGAAGATATATGGCAAGCAGCTCAGCTGGAGATAAAGTCATGCAGAAGCTCTCCTGCAACCTTCACAACCAGGATGAATTTGGAAGTCTGCTCCTCTCTTTCCTACGGTGGTGCCCCCTCTCTTAATCCTGCTGGGAATATTGCACAGCTTTTCACCTTTATGGGGCTACAGGCTGCAGTTTTTGTTTGCCAAGGCACCACGGCATCTGCCACAGCTGAAGCAGAAGATCACTTCAGATGCAGGTTTCAAGATTGGATTAAAAAACCCTCTTGTAACCCCCATCTGCTGCCACCTTCCACAGAATACAAGGTGCTGAGCAAAAGAAAAGAAAGAGACTTCCTTGGTTTTGGTGTCATGCTTTCCTCAGATTCAGGCACACTGCATTGGTTCCCCTTCCCAACATGCTCCGATCATTTACCTTCTTACACTCGTTGGATGGGATGGAATCCTCCTCTGAATCCTCAGCCATGGAGGAAGCACATGGAGATGAACAGGGCTCTTTGTCTTCATCAGCAAGGAAGTTGTTTGCTTTGTGGGAAAGGAAAATACCTGTAGTTATTTTTCTCCCCCTATTGCTCCGTGTTCCCTCTCCTTCCCTTCCTTGTCTGTCCTAAAGTTACTTTCAACCAGGATCCACAGTAACAACTTATCCCTGTTTAAATACAAGGCTTTGCACCCTTGCCACAGGGGTGCTGCTGACCAACCTGGGGGGCTCAGGCTCCTCCATTCTGCAGGGTAGCAGAAGGGATAAGACCACTTTGTGCTGAGTCTCCCTCTCTGCACTTCAGCTTCCCATATGTAGGAACCACCACAATACATCCCACCACTCATATTACTGCATTTATTCACTTCCAGAGATGTCAGATCAGGGGCTGATCTCTCAGACTGCAATCACAGCAGGTAGCAAAGCAGTTCTCACTTTCTCAATGGTATGAGTTACACCCAAAGGCAATTATCCCTCATCTCCACTCTATCACATCTTCATCAACACTCCTTAGCACCACCAGCACTCAGGTTTGGTTATGTGCAGTCCCCAGAAGGAAAGTGGAGAAACTGATGTCAAGAAACTGAGTGCCAAAAGAAAGAAGCCCCTTCTTGCTCTATCCTGCACTTGACATCTAAGTAAGAGACCCCAATTACTTAGAAATCAGGGACACATACAGCCAGGCTGGTTTGGGAATAGGTCCGATGCATCGTGCGACGTGACGGATGGAGTCAGGTCGTCAGCTGAAGACTGTGTCTCCTCCTCTTCTTCCCCTGAAAGCAAATCCTTCGCTATTTGTTCCTTTTAACAACAACAAGAAAGTGAAAAATATGTTTAAATTAAGAAAATAGAGGAGGGATGGGGGGGGGTGAGGCCTAGAGTAAAGCATTTCTGGCCAATTCAAACCCCAAAGACAGATTTTCCCTCATGTTCCCCACCACCCTGAGATTATTTCCCCTAGAAGCTCTTCTACAAGTGTCAAGAATGGCTTCCCATGGAAGCCAGAGAGAGGATGAGCAAGTGGCCCTTTCTGTAGAGCTCCCCTCACAGCAGATAGTTGCTGGAAGGAGCAAAAAAGCTGTCCACAGACTGTAGAGAGAAGAAGACGACCCACAGCTTCACCTGGCAAGGTACAACCCTTCCCTGTTTCTCCAGAGGCACATCTGTGTGCCAAGACTTGCAACCCAGACTCCAGAAAGAGTTTTTACAGTGGTCTTTTTAAACAGTTCTCTCCTCTAAACTCTTTATATTCACATTGCTGCTGCTGGCATTCCTCACTGGACACCAGATCTAGGCAGGCCCCTTCCCTTGGCATCAGTTGAACCCCAGCTGAAAAGAGCTCCTGGATGCCTCAAGCTCCAGACAGCCCAGTAACCAATGCCACTAAGAGCACACACCAAGCAGAGAGCTGCTCTTACCTTATCCAGAGTCATATCTGGGAGGTTTGGAGTAATATCATTGCTCTCACTGTCCTGCTCCGAGATGGGATCAGATGCCTCATAGCCATAAAGTGCAAGCAGCTCCTCAAATGGCATTTCACTGCTCTGAGCGAGAGGAGGACAAAGCTTCATCAGGAAGGGAACAATCACCGAGCACAACACCAGCTGCAGTGAACACAGAGATATGCAGAGGCAGTCAAGGCACCTCTGCTCTTCTGGGGGCTCTGAACTGCCTCAGGTGATGCTGTGTAAGGAAGGAGGCACTAAGTCTAACAGGACCCACCATAACCTGCTCTTCTCAGGGGTGGGGAGAAGCCAGGAGCTTTCACCCCAGTCAAGGGCATTAAAAACCATATTTCTTTTTATACTTACATGTTACAGTCAATTACTTTGTATTTAATATGAACTATTATATCATTATCTTTACTTTTTAAACTAGATTCCATGGTGGTGAAGAGATGCCAGACAGCACAGCTGTATTTATACAGAGAGGAAGTGAAGCAAATCCAAAAGCAAATCCAAAACTCCCTTCCCCTCCCTCGCTGCCTTTACCTGAGAGGCACTGAAGCTCTTCTCCAGCTCTTCTAAAGACTTCTGCTTCTCCTGAGTATCATCTTCGTCCTCCCTCTCTTCCCGCACACCATAGTTCTGTGAAAGGATCTCTGCTAAGTTCAGTCGATGATCAGCTGAGCCCATGGACACAACTGCAGGGATTAAAAGAAGTTGGACACTAGCACCACCCTGGACCACATCCGCAGCTGCAATGAAGCTTGGGATGATCCCTTCTTGTGTGTGTGCAGCCACGATAAGGCAGAGGAGGAGAAGAGGTAGGAAGGGGCTGGGGAACACAACTCTGAAGTCACTCTGTGAGAGCTACATTGCAAAGCTGGGTTCTCTGCACATTCAAGTCCCACAAGTGACTGAAAGCTGAAGGTTTTCTGGGTATTTGTGTGCCTGTCCCAGCTGGATTCACTTGTGTCACAACACGTGAATGCCTGGGGCAGCCTTTCCTTCACCCAAGGTGGTTTTAGGGTAATTAGTCCTTACAGCAAGACCAACAGAGAGACACAGACTGAAAGCACAGGTACCTGCTGCAGTCGGAAGGGCAGGCTCTGCAGGACAGAGGCTGCGCGCTGGGTACGGCACCACCCTGGGGCTCTGCCGCCCAACCGAGGCCTTCAAGAGAAGAGAGAAACACACCTGAGACATCTCCTCCTCCAAACTAACCCTCCTCCAGCCCCGTCACCCCACCAGCCAACGCAACCCACCTCATTCCAAAGCCAAAGGTAACTAAACCCTCACAGGGCAGCAGGAGAGACTGTGCAGAAAGAGCTCAAGTGTATTTAAGAGCTCGCCCCGGCTCCAGCACCTTCCCCTTGGTCTCTGTTTCCACTTCAGCACTCCATTATTGCTCCTGTCACCAGTTTAAGACCTCAGATCTTTATGGCTTACACCTTCCCTCACAGAAGGACTTGGACCCTTATTCTAAATGCCCACATCATGCTTGTTTGAAGGCAGCATTTTTAGGAGCTGCCCCACTGGAGAGGCAATGGGAGGCAGCCACAACCCACTGGCTTCTGCCTAACTCCTCCCCACATCCAGAAGGCTCTGAGGGGTGAGTGAAGAGATTTAGTGCTGAGCAGGCAGCAAAGGAGCCTGGTAGCGCTGGGAATGGCCCAGGCGAGGTGGGGAAGGGTGAGACACTGAGAAGAGGCACCTGCTTTCTGGCATTCAGTGCTCGGTCAGAAGTTCAGGCAGCAGAATGGGCTGAGGCCTGGCAAAGAACCCAGGACATCTGCTGCTCCTTGGGCTGCTGTGCATGGAAATGCTGTTCATCAAGTTCAGCCTTGGTGGGGAGCAAGCAGGTGATTAAACCAGGGCCTTTGGGTGACTGAGAGCATAAACTGCAGAAGAAAATCACAGTGTCCATCCCCCAGTCACCAGTGACACCAGTTTATGGTCCTCAGCCATTAGCAACCTCCTCAGGGGGAGCCAGGAGCTGCAGCACGAGGCTCTTACGACTGAAAACACAGTACAGCCTCACACCAAAAGCTATCCTCTAACAATAAAGCAAAATGCACACCAGAAAAGCCATCCCAGACTTTGGGTTTGGAGTTGGAGCCTTCAGGTACCAACATGTACACTGCAAATTCCATAACAGCAGAGAGGCAGCTGTTTTCTAGGTCTAATTAGGACTGAGATAATGGATGGCCTGGAAAAAGATTGCCATAGAGAGAAGGCTCGAGAGGGAGGAAGGGGAAGGATGTGTGAAGCAGCTGTGGAATTCCTGCTCCTTCCTCTACCAGGACCAGTGGAAAGAGGATGCTTCTGGTCCAAGCGGAGCACACGCTGCAGGTGACTGTCCCCAAGCATGAGAATCCCACTGGAGACCACTGTGGCTGCAGGCAGAGACCAAAGGGGCAGGCTGAAAGAAAAGGAAGGAGATTATGGGCTCATGAAAGGAGAAGGGGATGGAAAGCATTTGGACAGGCTCCTTTTGGAGGATGGTCGTAATGGGCAACGGCTTCGGAACTCAAGGAAGTGTCAGTGCCCCTTTGTTGGGCTCTGCTGGAACATGCCCAAGAACAAAACCCTCCTGGATAAACCTTTCCATGTAAGCACCCCTGGTTCCACAAGGATAAGGGGGTGTCCCACACTCCAGTCCTTCCTCAGTGATCTTTCCTGAAACCCTGATCTCTGTATCTATGGGTTGTGCCTCCTTCACACAAGGAGCTGCATGCAAAGGCCTCTGGAAACAAAGACTGAACCTGTTACAGTGGCTTGAAAGGATGTCAATAATCCTTCAGGAATGATGAGATCTTACATTAACAAGCTGGAATGAAGACTGAAAGTCAGTACAATGGGATGGCAACTCATGAGTTGATTTCCCCGAAGCAGTAACACAGCATCAGAGCAAGTGGGAGCTGCTCTGAGCTGGAGCTGCCATGAAATAACCATTTGGGATGAGAAAAAGGAGAAACAAGGGACCAGTAGCCCACTCCCCACCCAGATTTAAAGAGGTATTAATCTTAATGAGCCTTCAGATTATCTACAAACCCAGAGGACCACAGAAAGAAGCCAAAGGAGCAGGGGAGAAAGGCAGGTCTGGCTTCAAAACACAAACGATGCCAGAGAGAACATTCCCAATCCCACTGATTTCTGATGCCAGGGGATGTGGAGTGTTTGAAGGCGAGGAGCTGCAGTCCAATGCTTCAAATCCACCTATCCCATGGGAAGCAGAACACACCACAGCATTACACGGGGCAGAAAGACACCAAGGTGCCGGTGGGGATCTCCAGGTCAGGGGCTCCTGCCCAAGGTGGAGATGGTGGCACCAGGGCTGAACTTCTCTCCAGGAGTTAACACGGGGGTTGGCTGGTGACTGACTCTTGTGTCTGTATTTCTGGGTGACTCCAAGTCTCCCTCCTTCAGTCCGGATTCAAGTTCTTCAGCACATGGAACAAAGGCAGAGCCGTGTTTGAGGGAAGGTGGGAAGAGCCTGAGCTTTCTGCACTGGAAAAGCTGCTCCCAACACCAGGCAAAACTGGGTTTCTCCAGAGCACGACCAGAGAAAACCTTGCAGAGAGTCACAGAGTTCCTCAGGGTGGAAGGGATCCATACGGACCATCCAGCCCCACACCTCCAGGCTGAAACCCCCCTCACAAGAAAGTGAGGAAGAAGAGAGCGGGTTTCCCTTCCCTG